GGTGGGGGCGCGGAGGGCAGGGGCTGAGCCCGGGGAGCGCCCGGAGGCCGGGAAGAACGGTTCTTCTGCAGGGGTGAAAGGGTGGGAGTCCCACCAACCGAGAGGTCTCACCAGGGGTTGGGAGCCACCAGCATCCTAGGGCACTGCTTTGCCTCCGGGGCTGAGCGGCAATGGGGGAGAGGGGTGGGTTCCTGCCCTTCCAGCACCTGGGTTGCAGCTGGGAACACGCTTTTGCTTTGCACCGGTAACAATTTTGGGTGACAGTCAAATCCTCTAGAGCCAGCGGTTGCAAAGTGCTTCAGAAGGAGTTGGTGCCGTGGGGTGGAGCGATAGCAGCGAGCAGGCTGAACTCGTGGGTGATGTCTCACAGCACCCCTAAAATCAGAAGTGTTTATAAATGATGGGAGACTCGTGCCACTATAGATGTAAATCAAAATGTTTCCTTTGCACCTGCGGGCCTTCACAAATAGACAACTCCCAGACACAAGGCTCCTTTTCGGCTCATTTCTCGACCTTTTCTTCCCGTACCTTCCTGACTGTAACATCGCACGCTGCACGCTGTTGCTCCTTCTCTCCTCTTTAAAGGTAGCCACAGATTTTTAATATCATGCCTGAAACCATCCCACCTCTGCTCCAACCAAATTCTTTTCTCTGTATTTTTGGCTGTGTGCTAAGAGACATGCAAATAGAATCCAGATGTTCAGGCCAATTCAAACGCAAAAGGCTTTGTCTTTCTAAAATGGAAATTGCTTTTTGGCAAACTTTGAGAAATATGAAGCTGGTGACAGTACTGGCAAAAACAATACAAATCTGCAAAACCAATCTCCGCTCTCACGCTCCCAGGAGCTCAGTGTAGCTGGAAGCAGAGGTTGTGTTGAGATTTATTTTTTTTTTTTCAGAGAACAGGTTATGCTCCATGGAAAACCTTCATCTCTATAAACTAGACTGGGCCAAACCTCTTCCTCTCAGCATGCAAGACTGCTGCTCAGTGCAGGCATCCTTGCAAAGCCCTCGCTAAGACCAACTTAGGCTCACACGAGGCTTCTCTTTCAGCATGGCGCCTATTCACTGTAAAACTCTGCAACGATAGGAGCCATCCCAACATCATATGCACTTCTCATCCCACCAACGCATTGGTTTGTTCCAGTATAGTAAATCCTCTTGATATACATCTGCACCAGAATACCTCATCTCTGCGGCAGCTAGGATAGCAGCAGGTCACAGGATGGAAGTGCAAAGAGGGTACCGCTTCTGTGTGACACTGCCTAAATATAGATGAAAACTTAAAGCCTCACTGTGACACCTTTTTCTCCGAGGCAGAACTACCTCCAGGAAAAAAAGGGTTTTGGCAGGAAAGGGAAATGGTGAACTGCCTTGCAGTGAAGTAAAACCTCTGCCTGAACAGACTCCATCCTCAAGTGGGGCTGTTGTAGCCACGTGGCTTTAAGTTGTATTTCTACCAGCAGGCATGTTTTCTTTATAGCTGAAGTTAATCTGAAACACATGTTCTTCCTCCTACTTCACTGGACGCCTGGATCACAGGGGTTAGTTAAATACAACCCTCTTCCTTTAATTTCTGGGAATCTATATAAACATTGCTTCAGACCAGCCTCGGTGGCGTCTGCTCTCAGGGGCATGACACTTCAGCAGTAGCTCTGGTTTCCCCACAGTGAAACCCTGGGTTATACACTGCCCCCTGGACCAGACAGATCTGTCTGGAAGGGCCACATATGCCAATACTGGAGTGATTAAAAGTGGATTCCACAGAAAGAACAGCTTTGGGGAGTTTGGTACTTTTCTTCCACCTCTATTAAAAACGTCGAAGAAGCTAAGCTCTGGCTTTCACCTCTTCTCTAGACCTGGCCCAGAGTTACGTACTTAATCCCAGCCCCTTTCCTTACTGTCTTTTAAGAAAGCTCTTCTACTTTTACTTTATTGAACTGCAAGTAAGAAGCAAAGGATGCATATAGGCTGTACAGCCTTCCAGGTACACGCAGACACAAGAGACATGACAAACTACTGCCCGAGGCAGCTAACTTGTACAGCAGAGCAGCACCCAGCCAGTTTAGCCTTCTGCCCCACTCAACAATATGGATTTGCTACCTTTTATAAATACAGTATTGATTTTTTTTACAGCCTAAAACTCAGAAGATAGGAATTAGTGCTTTTCTGGACCTTGGCACTCAGTAACTGCCAGCATCAGTGTGGTTTGGGCCACACACATCTGCTTTTGCACTCAGGCACACCCAGGCATGCATGCTTGCCCGATTTTAAAGTCATTGGGGCCAGGCTGGCTGAGTGCTTCAGACTAAAGAAGAAAAGCTGGCTAAGATCAGGTGTGTGTTTCACAACTGGGAAGGACAAGCAGCAGCATGTGTCACTGTGGTTCCTGTCACAACCAGGTACAGCGGATAGTAGTGGTAGAGATGTATTTGCTTGGTTGCTCAAACTACCACTGTCTTGTTCTTACTCTGTAGGTTCAGGCATGCAGATTCCAGTGGTTCTCCTTTTCCTGGGTCTCTTAACTGTCCCAAGCAGATCCCAGAACTCAGCTACTGAGCAGGTGAGTAGGAGACAATGTGCAGAGAGCGAGGGAGAGATACTTGGGGCAGGTAATTTAGTTTTAAAGAACCTTACAGAAGGATTAAGTGCTACTCTCCTAAGTTACTAGGATTTTATTTAGCAACATAATGAGACTAACTCCTGCTTTACCTAGATAAAACCACAGTAGTTACATCAGGGGACGACCGCGAGGCAGAAATAGTGGATTCCAATCTGAGTGCTGCCTTTGGTTTTACTGGCACATTGCTTTAAAGTAACTGTTTAAAGTAACACTCTCAATCAGAAAGATTAAGGCAGTATTTCCGTAGATCGTAGGGGAGTACCTGTAGATTGCTTGCCTTTGAAACGTTTATCACAACTGTACCTGCTCTTGTGAACTGCAAGTCTAACCAAAGCGCTCCCTGTACCCGCTAGAACTCTGCCACCGCTGATGGAGCTAATGCTGGCGAGGTCGAAGAGGAAGATCCATTCTATAAGAGCCCTGTAAACAAGCTGGCAGCTGCAGTCTCCAACTTTGGCTATGACCTGTACCGTCAGCAATCTAGCCGGACAGCCACTGCCAACGTGCTACTCTCTCCATTCAGCCTGGCTACTGCACTTTCTGGTCTCTCACTCGGTGAGTTCTCGCCCCTTTTCCTCAGGCACTGCTTGGCCTGACAGGCCTTCCCTCATACTGCTGTCCTTGTTGTTGGCAGGGGCTGGAGAACGAACAGAAGATGTGATTTCTCGCGCTCTCTTCTATGATCTGCTTAACAAAGCTCAGGTCCACGACACTTACAAGGACCTCCTGACCAGCGTGAGTGGACCAGAGAAGAGCATGAAAAGTGCTTCCCGCATCATCTTGGAGAAAAGTAAAAGTCCTTCTTCCCCTCTACCAAATTTTACCAAAGTAACTAGTAGCAGGTAGAATGCCCTGAATAACAACGCACTTACAGCTTGGCTCTGACATACTGTTGAGCCAGGATGCAGACAGTGCATGGAATGCTGTTGCTGCTCCAGAAAAAGCCTGGAAAGTTTGTGTGCACATAAATAGAAGACCAGACTTATGCGCACAAAGGCACCGGTGACAGAGCAGCTAACGTGCAAGACCTAGAAGAAACTTGCTGAGAATTTTGCTTTTGCTCTAGGTTTTCTGGCAGGTGTTGCCAACTTCCAGGAACCATAAATCACATTTTCTATTTGTGATAGCATTCAGCCATATTCCTTTGTTTGATTCCTTGCAGAGCTATTTGACATGTCGGCATGCAATAAGCAGCTGCTGAGAAAGCCAAGAGCTATCTTTTGGAACCTGCTGGTTCCTAGAATCCAGTAGGTTGAGTAAGCTGTACTCATAAAGCAAGCTGGAAAAAGAAGAAAGACTGATGTAGGAATAGCTGTGTCCAAGCCTTCTGTTCTTATCTCCTTTCTTTACTTTTCAGAAGAGAGTCATCCCATACTCCAGCATGGGTGGCTATAGGATTTGGATCAGTTTCTTCCATGTGCCTTCTTCAAAGCAGGTTTCTGTATACACACAGCCACAGATGTTTTATGAGAAAACTGCTGCTGGGCTTTGGATTGCAATCTGTTGCCTTGAGAGTGTTTTGATAAGGGAGCTAGCTGCAATATCAATGTTTTTGTTCCCCAGGACTGAGGGTGAAGCCTGGTTTTCACAGCCAACTAGAGAAGTCCTACAAGATGCGTCCGAGGGCGCTCAGTGGTAATACCCAGTTAGACCTCCAAGAAATCAACAGCTGGGTACGACAGCAGACAAAGGGAAGGATCATGCGGTTTATGAAGGACATGCCCGCAGATGTCAGTATTCTCCTTGCTGGGGCTGCTTACTTCAAGGGTAAGGATGTTGTGTAATTGGTTACAGAGAGGGAAGCCTGTGTTAGAAGAGATGCGAGGGAATGCTCTCACTTCCAACAGAGCAAACAGACTGCCAAAGAGACAGAGTGTAAGAAAGTGTTTGAGAACATTTAGTAAAGAAGAAAAAATGCATGCTACCTGAACAGAAATAGTCCTTGAGGGAGGAATTATTACTCTTGGGAAGCTGAATCTTGACCTGTTTGCAGTAAGAGACCAGAGAAGAAAGTTTAAGCTCACCAAATGCCATGGCAAGAGACAGAGTATTACCATTCAGGGAAGGCACAGCTCAAAGAGTGTACTGAGCCGCTGTAGAGGGAATGGAGGCAGATACTAGAGAGCTGTTCTAGAACATGCTGTAAGCCAGTGTCCTGGAGAATTACTGCTTAGAGACAAGGAGCAAAATAAAGGGTGGGGAGAGAAGCACTTTATATGCATTGACACAATTGTTACCCTTTAAAATAGTTTTGTAATTACATAAGTAGACATCAACTTCCCAATAGCTACTCCACCCATACACTGGCTTGATTTTTTATTTTCCATTTAGCCAATTCTCAGATGAAAAGGAGGGGCCAAAGAGTGACAGTAAACCAGTAGCTCTGATCAGTCTATTTCCATCTCCATCATCATTCAGTTATGTCTCGACTCTTAAAGGACAAATACTGTATATAAAAGCACAAGATTAGTCTGCCACAGCATAAACCTGGTTTCATATGCTGTTATTCCAGAAAATCCTCCATTTTATCTTTTAAAAAATAGGGACGTGGAAAACCAAGTTTGACACCAAGAAGACTGCCCTGAAGGACTTCCACCTGGATGAGGACAGAACTGTGAAGGTGTCCATGATGTCAGACCCCAAAGCCATACTGCGATACGGTTTTGACTCAGAACTCAACTGCAAGGTCAGAGAGCAAATATTGCACAAGATCTCCTAAACCTACTGAGGAACAGGCTCAGCTACACTTACCTGTTAACCCATTCCAGAAGACAGCCTTGCTCCTCCCATCAGGCTAGTTTTGCAATCCCTATTTTGAAAGGCAGTATGTTCACTCTTAGAATATCCCACTTCTGCACTGGCTATGTGACAAGCAGTCCAGAATTTAAATAATGCCCAGGTCCTACTAGCCTGCATTGCTTGACCTAAAGTTGGGCAAGAAGGGCAGGGCACACCCCTCAAAACTTTGCCATCTCTACCTTTTTCAACAAGTCTTCCACTGTAGCATGAGCTCAGAGGTGTTCCAGCTGAGAATCCCCCAAAGCATACTGCAGTTCATTACAGGAGTCAATGGGTGAGAGCGAGCGCTTGCCATCTAATAATAGAAAGAGTGCAGCACAGGTTGGTGAAAGCCTGGGCGCCAGAAGGTTCAGGAAGCATCACATCCAATAAAAACAAACAGGGAAGACGACCAAATGTTAACTGGAAAGGCTGACCAGGCAGTCCTCATTCAGGCCTGTGCCTGGTACAGGACGGTTAAATCTGTTCATTATTGATGTGACCCTTTCTTATTTGTAACTGGCCTTCCAGATTGCCCAGCTGCCGCTGACAGAAGGAATCAGTGCCATGTTCTTCCTGCCTACGAAGGTGACCCAGAATATGACTCTGATTGAGGAAAGTCTTACTTCTGAATTTGTCCACGATGTAGACAAGGAGCTGAAGACAGTCCATGCTGTGCTAAGCTTGCCCAAAATAAAGCTGAACTATGAAGAGGCACTTGGCAGCACTCTAAAGGAGACAAGTATGTACATCACACACCCTCTACAGACTGCCAGGGCTCAAAGCAGTGGGCAAGCTGCTTCCTGCTCTCAGAAAACTATGAAGCTGGTGGGTTATTAAGTTAGGTCCCGCTGTCAGTCTAGAGATTTCACCAGCAACTAAATCACCATGGTCCAGGACTCCTCAACTTTTTGTCACATCTTCCCACCAAGCTCATACAACGCTTCTGAGATTGAGAGGGAGAAGCTCAGTACAAACAGATGTAAGCTTCTTCTCTCTGTTACCCCCAATAAACTCTACCAGAGCAGTTACATGCCCTCCTGGACTCACAGCATTAGCAGTACTGCTCCCCCACCTGCAATCTATGCTTTCAGTTAACGGAATATTCTTTCTTTCCTCCAGGGCTCCAATCGCTTTTCTCATCACCTGATTTTACCAAGATTTCTGCCAAGCCTATTAAGCTATCTCATGTGCAACACAAGGCAATTCTGGAGCTTAGTGAAGATGGGGAAAGATCCACACCAAATCCTGGGGTGAATGCTGCTCGTCTGACCTTCCCCATAGAATACCACGTGGACAGACCTTTCCTTCTTGTACTGCGAGATGATACCACTGGAACCCTCCTCTTCATTGGCAAGATCCTGGATCCCAGGAGCGTTTAGATCCCTTCACAATAACCTGCAATGGTAGGGCCCAAATGGAAAGGGTGGTATTGGGAGGGATACTGGCTCCCTGCTCTGCTGCACAAAGACACAACTTGCAAATCTTATGCCTTCATGCTGCAATAAAAGAGCTTTTGCTATTAATCTCAGCAAGCCCCAGTATTCTCCCTTGAAAGATTGTCATATGCCTTCACACTCCCCTTTTGCCCAGACTGAGCCATGATGCAGTTCTGTGTCCTCATCACTGACAGGTCTGCGCTGGTAGCCCTCCAATTTCTGCAGTGCCCCCTCTTATAGCTTGTAAGTTTGCACTTCACAGCCTGCTGCCTCACCCATTCCAACCATTTACATTTCATGCTGGCAAGAAGAAAAGTGCTTCACAGCATTAGAAATAAAAGGCAGCATGGTCTGGATGACTGCCTGTTCATAACCATCAGGGTATCACACATGGGAGATTCACATCTCTAGAAACAGCATACACGAGCATCTCAAACATTTGCTTCAAACCCACATGCAGAAATTATACAACAGCATCTATTCCCACCATACCACGCACAGACCCCTCATGTTAGAATTGGTCATTTTATTTACAACAGTCTCACTAAAGAGCATTTCAGATTTCATTCAAGTTGTTACATATGATTTTCCAGCTTGTACTACATGACTACTTTACCACATGAAACTTAGCTTTGATGAAAGATCACTTTGCAGCTTCCTTTGACAGGGAAATTAAGTCCTCTGAAGGATGCTTCTGGGAAGCTCTAACAGACAGGTCTTCATCTCTTGTAGTTCCTGGATCTGAGTACTCTGAGGACCACAGTGCACTGACAAAATCGCCTCTGCTCTTTGAATTGTGCTCAGAGCTTCAGAAACTGCAAATCTGAAATAGGAAGAGAGTAAGAACAAAGTATACAAAATACCTAATTCAGCTCCTCGACTCACATGACCTTTAAGCCCTCCCCAACAAAAAAATCTAAGCCTGTTCTTGGGTACAGACCCTACCCTCCACTGCCTTTTAGCACCAGGCAAATAG